TTGGAGGATTGTGGTGAGATTTTCAGGGAGCGGCGTACCATGGGTATGCGTTGAGTCTTTTAACCATGTGATGGTCCTACGCAGAACTGAACACTACTTAATACATGTATGCATGATATACATACAATTATTTTGCATCGCACAATGTGCGATTTATTTTGGAAAATGCGTAGCACTTTGTGCATATTTGCGTCGCAAAATGAGATGCGATACCGGGAAATCGAACGCTGACCACATCTATCAATGTCAGTCGGCGATGGCACCCTCAGTTAACATACCTACCACAGCCTGTCAATTGTACCAATATGAGGCCAGTTCACAGACCTATTAAAGCCTGTCACCGGATAGATTCTGACGTTTAGCTCATCAATACTGAGGTTTAGAAAAAAACTACTTCTAAAATATATGCAAATATACCATTCCAAACAATTTTCAGGTATCACCCCTTCTAAATGTGCTTTGTATCGCCAATAGACGTGCCAAATTTGGTGCTTTGGCCAGTCTCACGATTCGACCCTAAGCCACCGTCTATTTCTAGCTTTAAGCTAGGAATCACTGTGACTATTAATTGAGGTAAATGCAGAGTAGAGGTTTGATTTGTTTCCCTTTGGTGGAAATTTCATTATAAGTAATCACATTTGTGTGCATGTACACTGGCAATGCATTTGTACAAATTTTAGGTATTGGCGGGAGTATTTTCTTAGAAACTATAGAAAATCCCAGCAGATTTGTGGAGATTCTTAATAGTTGCTACCTGGCAACTTTTTTGGAATTTAACTTGGCATGGGATTACCACATTTTATAACTTCCCATATAGAAAATACATTAGCATTCATCCCAAAAAAGAACTTCGAGTCATTTTCCAGTTGTTGAGATGTACATTTCTTTTGTGAGGATGTGTACATTTCATAGTGAGGAGGTACCGAAAGATAATCTATGACCCTTAAAATGGTTCCCTTGTAACATACAGGAAGTTCATGTAAAACAGTCAGGTGTGGTAACAGACACAAATGCCCCGCAACCGTGACTGTTCCCATGACATGACTTCACTCATTTAACATCAACTTACATGTACCTGGGTCACATGGAACGTTCATTGACATCATAATTGTTTTCTGTAGGATATATGAATTAATCCAATGATCTCAGAATAGATATAACGTATTTCCTTGCTTTTCTGTTGGGAAGTCATTGTATGTGACTTAAAAGTGTGAGTGAATGTGAAGAGATCTTGTACAAACAAGCTGAATTTAAAAAAAAAACAGCTCAGGCCTTCATTTTTAGAAATTCGTGGAGCTCAGTTAATCGCTCCTCCTGGGAATCCGAGGAGCTCAATTTGAGCACCCAAATTGCTCTCCTGGGAAGTCCGAGGAGCTCAATTTGCATGTTTGTGCTCAAAGTAAAAAATGAATCCAAATCATTTCCTGAAGCCTTTCATATCATGCACACACACTTGCATCAGAACTGAGACAGATGCGACTGTTCACTACAAATTGAGTGCTTAATTCATGTCAATTTATTAGGTTTAAGTTTTACTTTTGTTGTGAATCATCCTGATGTGGAATTGGAAATAAAAATGAAAAAAAAATTGGAGTTGACTTGTGGTTCTTTAGTGGGGTTTTTTGTGTTCTATTTTACTTCGTTTTTATTATATTCACTTTATTTTATTTTTATTTTTTGTTTTATTTATTGTTTATTTCAGTTTTTTATTTATTGATTTTTTTTTTATCAAATAGTTTGTTTTGGTTTACTAACTTTACTAAAATTTGTTTTTGTTTAAATTTGCATATGTATCATGTGGTGTAACTGTGTTTTTGAGGGGTTCTAAATTTATATCCAAATTGATGAATAGAGCCCCCCCCCCAAAAAAAATCCAATTAATTTAAGTCCGGTCATACATCTGTCAAAGAAATACTTTTTTTGTCACATAAATCCTCAAAATTAGTAAAATAGAAAAGGAAAATAATTATATGAATATTTGGTTTTGGGCACAAAAAATAAAAGGATCGAAAGTAAGGTCACAGAAATGTACAAGTATTAAACGCCATTACAAAATGTCGAATGGTACTACGCACAAACAATGTCACCGTGCACGGGTGGCCAGTTGACCGCCGCGCTTGCGGGCATAGCCCGGTAGTCGACACACGGAAAATCGCTCTGCACTCTATCGTTGTGGGACAAATGAGCTCAACCTTTCGTAAGGTATTTCCAACCCAAACTTGTCAAAAATGAACGCTAGTTTCTTGTAGATGTACCGGAGATCATTCAAAATGCCGTTCAAAAACTCTGGCTCCCTTTGGAATATCACAACTTCCAGAAAAACGATGTAATTTCACACTGTTAATTGTCTGGCTGCACAGTATTAGATCGCGCACAAGTACAAGTAGGCCTACGCGTACTATGCGTGGGATCGGGACGGGAAACCGTCGCGATCGCCCGGCACCACACTCAACACGTGTGATTGGGCCACGTCCATTTTATCGAAAAATAGGGGTGTTGGTATTACAAAGTAGGTGGTTTTTAATTGCTCGGCCCATCCATTTCATAATTGTTTTGTGTTTTCACTTCATCGGAGGTTTATTTATTTAGTTTTACATTATAAATATTTATAAACTAATTTATAAACTGATCTCAACCGAAATTATTATTTCATTTTATTCACTTAATGGCGTGGTGCACGTCTGAATGACGATCCTGCCATACCAGTAACTGGTACCCTGCCTTGATCATAATGGAACGTGCTAAATGTCGTTGATGAAAAGAAATGGCTAATGTGTCCATGTACATGATGTATGGGATGGGCTCGAGTAACTGCGATGTTTACAAAATCCTTGCGATGATTATGGGTGGATTTTACGTAGGTATTCGACTTACTTTTGTTGATTTTTTTCACAACAAAATCGTTCAAACATCGGGATGACAAGTTAAGAAATCAAGTATATAAAATTTGGATTGACAAGATTTTACTGTTGGCTTTATGTAGACAAAAACTGGAGTCGACAATTAATAAGCTTACAAATTTACCCAGGAGCGCTATTATTCGCGCGCCAGAAACCGTGTTAAGGAGCGCGAAGGAGCGCGATCGCGCTCGCGCTCCTTAAAAATGAGCTGCTGTACATAAAACAAAATAAAGGATCCCATTTCAATTTGATACTGAACAAGATTTAAGATAGGCTTCTTACGGTTACCAAGAACAATCCCCAAACCAAATCTGAAGTTCATACGTAAAGTATTTCTCAAGTTATCGTGCTGACAAGATTTCTATTGTTTTAGCCACTGTTACCTTGACCTTTAACCTTTTGGCCCCAAATGCAATAGGCTTCTTAGGATTACCAAGAGCAATCCACAAACCAAATTTGAAGTCCACATATATGAAGTATTTCTCAAGGTATCGCCCTGAAAATATTTCTATTGTTTTAGCCAATCTGACCTTGACCCTTGGCCTTTCGGCTCTAAATGCAATAGGCTTCTTAGGGTTACAAGAGCAATCCATTGACCAAATGTGAGGTTCATATGTTACGTATTTCTCAAGTTATCATGCTGACAAGATTTATATGGTTTTAGCCACTCTGACCTTGACCCTTGACCTGAGTTCGAGTCCCACCCGAAATGCAATAGGCTTCTTAGGACTACCAGGAGTGATCCACAAACAAAATTTGATGTTCATATGTTAAGTCAAGTTATCCCGCTGACAATATATGTCAGTGCAGGGCAAAACCTAGTTGTATGAAGATTTCTATTGTTTTAGCCACTGTGACCTTGACCCTCAACTTTTCAGCCCCAAATCCAATAGGCTTCTTACGATTACCAAGAACAATCCACAAACTAAATTTGAAGTTCATACGTAAAGTAATTCTCAAGTTATTGTGCTGACAAGATTTCTATTGTTTTAGCCTCTGTGACCTTGACTTTTAACCTTTCGGCCCCAAGTTAGGCAAGTTATTCGAGCTATTCGAGCTGACAAGATTTATACATTGGTGCAGGGCAAAACCTAGTTGGATGAAAATTTCTATTGTTTTAGCCACTGTGACCTTGACCCTTGACTTTTCGGCCCTAAATGCAATAAGCTTCTTAGGATTACCTAAAACAATCCACAAACCAAATTTGAAGTTTATATGTTAAGTATTTTTCAAGTTATCGCGCTGACAAGATTTCTCCGGACACACACCAAACCCACCCACCCACCCACAGGAGGACAAGGCGGAAACAGTATGGCCCTTTGGCTTCGCCGCGGGGCATAAAAGACTAACTTTTTTGATGGTAGATGTTACATTACAGGAACCTGAGTGCAGGCGAAGACTTGAATCCACGTTTAGTCTTTGATTATTACAACTCCGCTTTCAATGATATATGATATGTATTTGTAAGGGTTTTATACCAAACATTTATTGAGGTTTTAACCATCACTGATTGTTTGCAGTTCTTACAAGACACGCATGCTTACCCTTGGTTGTTCCTCAGTGAAAGCAACTTCTCCTGTGACACCTCGGATCAGCTCATCAGGCAGAGAGGTTCTCTCCACAATACTATCACTCAAATGGTTGAACCTACCATTTATCAGAAAATACATTCAAGTGTACATGTCATTGTCTTTCTTTTGTAAAGAAAAATAATCAAATTCCATCTTATAAAAACTTTGGTTGTGGTACCTGCTGCTACATCAGACTCGAACCGACCGGCTGACCCCAACAAGCTAGGTGGTTCAGAGGTAAGACGTCTGCACTAGTAGGCAGGAGGTCATGAGTTCGAGTCCCACCCGAGTAAGCTTGTTGAGATTTTTGCAAGCCCTTGGACAACACTGAATATAACCATCCACAACCAAGAAGTATTAAAATACCTATAAGCATGTTTGTAACTCCACTGGTGCATGTAACACCCCCCCCCCCCTGCAAAGAGCTATGTTTGGTGGTTTATGTGGGTAGCCACTGAAATTTGATCAATCAATACTTTTTTTTCTAGACAATCTTTAAGGGATAACAAATGACAACTAGTTTTTGATACTGCCTGTGAGAAGAAACTGGTTGGTTTATCAATTAAATGTCTAGAACCAGGCCAAAAGAGATCGATGAAGTCACACTATTTTTTCAATATGAACAGGCACAAAAAAGGTACTGTTGTCTGTCACTCCCTGCAATCAAAAATTCTAAGGCATCAGATTATGTAATGTCGAGTCATACATTTATATAATGCACTGTAGGCCAATACTTACCACTCAATGGTGAGCTTGATGAAAACTTTCAGGTTTCCAGCTCCAGCACAACTGCCACAAGTCACTTGTCCATGGCCATGACATGTTTTACATCTATATGTATCAAATACAAATTAAATAGCACCAATTGGTAAGTACCATATCGTAAATATAAATATATTGTAAGACATTATGTCAGAATATTCAATCATTAACTACACATTTTCAATGACAGACTAACTTGATACATGTAAAAGCACAAAGGCACTTCTTGTAAAAGATTCCTCTCCAGTGTCACATGATACGAGGTCATGTAGGAATGACTTACATGTATGTATGAAGAGTTTCTCTTGGAAAAACACTTCTAATGAGGGGCACCCTTGTGCATAGTAGACTATTCACAAAGGCAAAAGACTAGAGAAATGTATGCAAAGACAACTTTTAGCACTTTCTAGAACCACCATACTTTACTAATCACTACACTGCAAAATGAAATATGAAGTATCTTACAATGGATACATCATGGAGGAAGGAACATCCTCCATGTTCCTTCCTCCATGGATAAATGAACATGTATTTGTATCATTCAGGAAAGAATGTGACATGCTGTCAAAATCAGATACTTCTTGGCAGTTTGGCAAAAATAAGTTTTGTACTGTACAAATAAAGATCTTACCCCTTTGAAATAACAATTTAAAACTTTCACATTATATTTTAGACACATTTTTTATCGGGTCATTCTATAGACTTATCTGGTGACTGCTGTTTTCTGAGGTAGTGCCAGGCTTGCACGAGTCATGCTCAGGTAGTACGCACCCACTGGTCGGCTCCCCCGACCAATAGAGAATACCAAAATGCAAGCACACATTACCTTTAGGAATGCCTGCAGCATGCTTGCGGATGTGGTTCCACCTCCAAAATAGCTTCTAATTTTGTTTGTCGGATTAATCTATGAATTTGGGGTCCACTTTTCCTGTCCCTGTTACATCTGGCACCTATGATGTTATAATTCTGATGCACTCCTTAATGCAGTCATCCTCCAAGAGAGATCATATATTGCAAACTACTTACCCAACATATAACAAAATCATTTAAAGTTATTCTTAATGATACTTCCATGGCAATTGCAAAGTACCAAAGTAACAGGGACAGGAAAATAGGACACCTAGAACCTTAATTTATAGAATGAAACGCACTTGGTAATGGGGCGTGGAACATTTTTATTTGAAATTGTCAAACTCAGTTGTAAAGATTTTAATGAAAAAAAACAGTTAAATATGAAATTCAAACTTGTTATACTTTTAAGCATTTATTAATTTGAACAAATGCAATATAAATGATGACATCACGATAACGTCACAACTTATTTCACATCTTTGGATATGGGTTCATGTTTGTAAAAGGTTTCATCTTTATCCCTTGAACCATTTGAATGAAATTACGTCTGTCTTAAAGGGAAAATACAACATTTGCAAACATCAAAAAATAAAACTACCAAATGATTTTGAATAACCTTGCTGGACTGTTAGTGAATGACAGTGTAAAGCATCCTGTAAAATCATGGCAACTGGTATACTGTCATTTTCAAGAAAAGTGCTATTTTTGTATCAATTTCCAACGCTGATCGGCCGATCAGCGTTGGAAACAACTGGCTTTTTTTCAAATACTGGCCCCAATTGACCATCGCACTTGTTTGCAATCGATTACACACCTATGAACGGGTACAAGCCAGCTAGACTGGTTCCCTGACCTTACAATTCCCCAATGTATGTAAACTGCTCTGTTTCTTCTTATATGGAGTCAGGGAACCAGACTACAGGAAAATGATTGTTTTCTTGGTTTTTATAGCATTTTCGAACCCAAAACCTCAAAAAAGTCAGTGTAACTATATTTGCTATATATTTCCAACCCCCCAATTCCATCCATTTCTGAAAATTACAGCAAAAGCAAATGATGTATATTCCCTTTAATATCAACAATTATTTCGGTATTTTGAATTCGCCAAAACTTGACCATTCTTTAAACCCAGAAGTAAAGGTCAAGTGACTTTACGTACAAATGTTTATCAAGGCATGGTCTTTCAGATAATAACTTATGAACATGATTCTATATTTTGATCATGAGTTATGATTGGAACATAACAGTGACTTTATGAACTAAAATTGCTTGTAATTTGACAGATTATGTCATCATGACTTCACACTTGTATGCACACCTCTGTATCAGGGTTGATGTTCATTCCAAACTTTGAAGTTCATGCACTGTTTGAAAGAAAAGCCGCAGAGAATTATTGTCAAGAAAAAAAATTACACACAAGAACCAAGAAAGAAGACAAAAAACAGCCCCATCACCCAATACAGAAAGGGAAAACATTCATCTCCGCATTGTTTTTTGAGTAGGTAATATCTCCATTTCAAGTGCTGCCCGACAAGTATCTGATTCTGACAGGTAACATCACAAATATAATACTGGATGGCTTTGAGGGTGATAAAAGTATTATTGCACTTGCTATAACACAGTTGCACTTGTCTACGAACTGTGCAATATTGTTATAGCAAGTGCAATATATTCTTTTATCCCCTGAACAAAGGCATCAAATGTTCTATAATTATTATTTATATCAGGCTGACTTGATCCAAAACATTATTGTTATTTATATTGGACTGACTTGACAAAAAAAACACCACAAATTTCCTGATGGTGCTTTGTAATAATTGCCATCTGCTTTCCTACTTATACATTTACCAAGGTTTAATTTAGAACTTTGACAAAAAACCTGCAGCGTAAACTTTTTCAGCGTCTTAAAATCTTTCCGTAGATTTTTCTCTGCCAAATACACTGGCAGTATATTTACTCTCGTCTTGGTTGCTTTCAAGATATTTCCAGCGTCTTGAGTTTTCAAATTTTCATTTAATTATTCTCTTGCAAATTTTGCACTGCTCGAAGCTACCCATATTTGTTGTTAATAAATAGAGTGTATTATACCCTGTGTGCGCCTGCGCTCTGTTGACTGGTTGAAAACTTTGAGTTTCTACACTCTTTGAGTGTGGGATCCAAAAATGAGCGTTGATACCTTAAAATATTGCGTTGTCATCCAGGGTTTTTTTCCAGAAAGCATACAATATGACGTTGATTTATTTGGACTCTGTGGAAGCTTGATATAAATAATAATTTATCACTGTTTTCTGTAAAGTATACTTTATGTTATGTAACAAGCGCTTACTTCTGATGTCCAGTTCCATGGCACCAGGTGCACTCAACATGGTTGTCATGGTGATGATGTCCATGGTGGTCATCATCATGCAAGAGAGGACTATGAACATGACCACTACCATTACAGTGATGACAATGAATCTACAAACCCAAATTAAATAAAACAAAATTTGAAAACCTTTGTAGAAATCCTTTACATGCTATAGCTGGGAATTAACCAACCAAGACCCACTTTCGTTGCTCTGCTAACCACAGAATTCCACACTTACATGTACAATGACCATTCTGTGCTTACGTGCTGTAAGCACAGAATCCTTATTTATGAGTGAGTGTAAGCCAGAATTCCTCACTAACCTGTGAAATATGCAAGGAGTTTTCTGCTATAGTAAGCAGGGATTTTCTACTTACAGTATACAAGCCATAATATCGGGCCCAGGATTTAAACCTGTCACCTTCCATGTACATGTACATGTATAATGGAGTCCCCTATGAAGGGTGGCATGGGTGGCTTGTGCATAAAGCGCTCGCCTCTCACCAAGGTGACCACGGTCCGAATCCTGGCCGCGGATTGCATGTGAGTAGAGTTGTGCGTTGGTTCTCTCCTGTGCCAAGAGAGTTTTTCTCCGGGCCCTCCGGTTTTCCTCCCTCCGGAAAAATCAAACACTTTCGATCTCAGGCTGTGCTCCGTGGTCATATATGGGTCGATGTGCCCGGCAGCCATAGGCGCCTTTACGTGCCAGTGGCCCGACCACGTTGTAGCCGCGTCCTTCACAATTCAGCATACCAGCTGCGAGTAAGGTTGATTAGCCTCCCAAATTATTATTATTGTTATTATAAATGCAGCGCACTTTGATATTTCTCCCCGACTTTCCTCATGCACTGTTTTAAAACCTCCTTGTTGACAAACTTCAAATTCATTCAGTTAAATACTGGTACTTAAATTTACTTAAATAATGCTGGCTGTTTTATACCTTTGTGAACTATGTCACGAACAGTGTCATGAAATTTAGTCAAATATTACAAATGTGTGATACGGATACTGTGCTCGGTGTAGGCATGGATGTACAGTGCCCGTTCGGTTTCCTGACGAAAGACTCCCTAACGATGCTTGATTGAATGGTAGAGAAGAGTCTGATTCAACAACAATTTTCCAGCAACATTTTTTGAAAATGAGGATCTGAATTTGGGATTTTAATATTTTAATTTTTTTTACAATTGGGAAGCCCTTTAAATCCTGAAGTTCACTTTTAAAAAATATTGAGGGCGAAACCTTTTATGAATTTGGTAAAAGTGTAAACTACACAGTACCTTTGAGCCTTTGGGGTTATCTTTGACCTTTGCTTTGTATTAAAGGGGTAAAACAATGAACTTTGTCCTAGTTCTCAACCACGATGATGTGCAATATTTGTGAATTGTGTTAGTGTATTGGTGTCGATGAGAACACTACTTAACTTAAGATTCATAAAAGGACTTGGACTCGGCGACAAGGACTCAGACACCAAGGACTCGGACTCAGACTCGGATACCAAGGACTCGGACTCAGACTCGGACTCGGACTCGCATACCAAGGACTCAGACTCAGACTCGGATACCAAGGACTTGGACTCAGACTCGGATACCAAGGCCTCGGACTCAGACTCGGACTCGGACTCGGATACCAAGGACTCGGACTCGGATACCAAGGACTCGGACTCAGACTCGGATACCAAGGACTTGGACTCAGACTGGGATACCAAGGACTCAGACTCGGATACCAAGGACTCAGACTCGGATACCAAGGACTCGGACTCAGACTTGGATACCAAGGACTCGGACTCGGACTCGGATACCAAGGACTCGGACTCAGACTTGGATACCAAGGACTCGGACTCGGACTCGGATACCAAGGACTCGGACTCAGACTCGGATACCAAGGACTTGGACTCAGACTCGGATACCAAGGACTCAGACTCGGCCTCGGACTCGGATACCAAGGACTCGGACTCAGACTCGGATACCAAGGACTTGGACTCAGACTCGGATACCAAGGACTCGGACTCAGACTCGGATACCAAGGACTCGGACTCAGACTCGGATACCAAAGACTCGGACTCAGACTCGGATACCAAGGACTTGGACTCAGACTCGGATACCAAGGACTCAGACTCGGCCTCGGACTCGGATACCAAGGACTCGGACTCAGACTCGGATACCAAGGACTTGGACTCAGACTCGGATACCAAAGACTCGGACTCATACTCGGATACCAAGGACTCGGACTCAGACTCGGATACCAAGGACTCGGATACCAAGGACTCGGACTCAGACTCGGATACCAAGGACTCGGATACCAAGGACTCGGACGGGGTGGGGTGGACTGGACTACAGCACCGATGATCGGTGCTTGATGTACACATTGACATGTACACATTGATTTGGGATCCCAATGATGGAACACTCACTATACAATGTGCATGTGTGGTGTCTGCCGTGTGCGATCAGCCTGACGGGAAAATTCACTAAGCGCTCCATATGCCTCTTTCTTTTATTAAGCGCTGTGTGATTGTTATTTACAAGCTGATAGGAAATTCATTACTCGAATCGTTCATTTTTTAGGCCTTTGAGAACTCAATTTAAGCATTTTTAATGCTTTTTAATGTCTTAAAACTAGTTTCTTCATCTTACGATTTTTAAAGCTTTTTCCACATCCTTTCTTCAACCTTACAAAGTATGCCTAAATAAATTTCATTTGCTAAAAGCTTTGTCAGATGCAAACAATAATGGCATTTTGTAAAGCTTCTTTGAAAGATTATCTATCATCAAAATAATAAGATCATTTAATATTTAAACTTATTGCTGTCCTAAATCTAGGTAACTCTTCGGTAAGATATTTAGGCCACTCTAGTTACGACAATGCAACAAATGAACTGGAAATCTATGCCATAACATCCCAGCTATACTATAAAAAAAGATATACGTTTTCGCGAGTTTGTTGAACGTTGAACAATAGAGGACAATAGGGCCCTCAATTCCCAAAGGTCCCCAATTTGGTGATAGTGTACAAAACATATGGGAGATCTTCCTAAAAAGCTAGAGTACAAACAAAAGTGGGACAATAGTGGTATATGCTATGTGGACATTCCTTTGTTTTCGTGTAGTTAAGAAAACTCGGTACAAAAAATAACTTTGCTTAAACTGTGAAAACTCTTTCAACCCCAAATTTGTTTTTGATTTCCTTGAATGTTTCTCTTCATTCTGCGACAGATAACCCTAACCCGAAAATGCCTCTAAACCTGTTTTCCAGAGAGGGCGAAACGTTATGTGGACACGGCTTAGGCCACAACGTCAACACAACCTGCATTATGTGAACATCTTTTGTTCACATGTCCACATAGTGACTGTGAGACAACTCACTTGTGTGTGTGTGAGTTTGTTTCTGCATTCAATAGGGGACATCGATCAACAAATGACTCTACAAGGATACAAATTTCAGTTTTGTATGTCCCTCTTTTGTTTGTACTTTGACCTCCCATATGTTTGTATCTATTGTTAATTGTGGACCTTCAGAAATTGGGGACCCTATTGTCCTCTATTGTTCAATGTCTCCTATTGAATGCAGAAAAACAAACTCATACACAGACACACACATGGAATACACTACTGCAAGATCCCCCTTTCTTGGCTTAAAAGCCAAGGGGATAAAAAAAGAAACTTGATTAATGATAAGTACATGTAACTTACATTACCATCTCCATGGCATGAATGGCAACGTTTGCGTCCAATACCCACGCAGTCATGGCAAGGCTATAAAGAAATGTCATATGCATACATGTACATACATAGTGATGAAGCAAATTCATTGTGGAGGAAATCACCAAGGGTTCAGATTTACCCTGAAATAAGAGAAATGTTAAGTTTGCAATATTTGCTGTGAAAGTTTTTGACATTTTCATTCAAGTTATTGTGCCCAGGACATTAAGTTTCCTTAGCTACACATGTATGTTCACAACTGCTTTCTACTAAGATTGTTATTCTCCATAATTTATTAGTAATGGGCTTTTCCATAAATAGGGGTCCAAAGTGGGACACTGTTATATACAGGGTGAGACAAAAAAAGAAAAGCCAAAGTTCTGTATGTAGCACTTACGAAATTTAAGATATCAAAGCCCAATTAATAAGCTTTCTTTTAGTAAAAGAATCATTCAAATCACTCATGTACTTTTCAAGTTACAGAATTTTAACGCAAAGACCGTTTTAAGTTCTGTCCGAGGATCACAAAAAAGGTAAGTGTTCTTTCAGCAAAACAAAAACAATTCACATAGGGAATTTTGCTGAAAGAACACTTACCTTATTTGTGATCCGTGGACAGAACTTTACAACGATGTTTGTGTTCAAAATTCCGCAACTTGAAAAGTACATGAGTGATTTGAATGATTCCTTTTTCAATATGGAGGTATCCTGAATCTGCCGAAATACTCCAAAACAGGGGTATGGATTTTGATGGATTCAGGATGGTTAGGGATAAACATAAATTTTTCATTTTCTGACTTGATTTTCTCTTTACATGTCGAAAAAAAATGGTTCACCATGTAACAGGAACATCGACATGGTACGTGTGAAATTTGTGACTTATCTGTGCCATTACTTATGTTGGTTTTCATTAAATATGCTTAAAGTTCATATATCTTATAAAGCAATAAAGATACCTGTGTACGAACATTTGAATTTTCAAAGACAGGCTTAAGAAATATAAGCCTATCACAAACAAGTTGCTAGAATCACATGTAACAGGGACACCATGGTGTCCTCCCAAATGTCCTTTACAGTGTGAAGCAAAATATACTTTTGTGCAATATATCTGTTAGTCTGAGTAATATCCGTTATCCACGGAGCCAAATCTCCTGTATCACGTCTGATCTAAACATCCAGATATATGCAAGCAGCTTGCCAGCCAATCAGAGTCGACTTTACTAAATCGCAGTGTTGTAGTCAAGTACGTTTTGCCGAGTACCGAGTACTGCCGAGTACCTAGGTTGCCTAGTAGGAATACGAGTACTTGTGCTTACGAGTACAAGAACAGGTCTCCGAGTACGAGTACTTGAACATCCGAGTACGAGTACTGGTGCTTACAAGTACGAGTACTTGTATTTACGAATATACATTGTGCTTGAAGCCTAAAATTATGTGTTCTGTGATAATTGTGCTTGAAGCCTAAAATTATGTGCTCTGTTAATCACTTGTGATACAAACTAGGGTTCATCTTTGTAAGCTTTTTCAATTAATTTGTTTTTTTAAATCGGCAACAGCAGTCTCTGTCAAATCAATGTAAATGTATTTTCCAAGGAAATGCTACACAGCTGAGTTACAGACGTGGAAGTTTAGGTCACCTGTCATTTAATAAAATTATTTGTATTTGGCTTTTCTGCATAGTTGCGGAAAAGCCTTTCTTTTTGTTAAGATTTCTCTTTCTGAATCTTCTTCTTTTTGTCGCCTGAACCCCATAGACTTTGTACATGTTTTTTCTCAACGCCACTTTTGGCATTAATCTTTGTCGTACATCATTCAAAGTCAGCATAGGCATAGTCCTTATGGCATAGTTGCGTCCCGAAGAGTGACGTCATCATTACGTCATCATGGGTCACATGACGTCACGTTAAAGATTAATAGACTTAATCTTTGAAAATCAGTATAAAATTAGCCGTGAGAGACCCGAATTTGACGTTTGCGGGAATTGATAGAATAATCCAGGATCTTCACTTTATCTCGTGTGAGCAGAATCACGTGACCCTTCCTTCCAGTCTAAGCCGGAAGTAACTCGAATTACCTTATAATTTAAAATTGGAAAAAGGTGCGAATTAGCTTGCAACGGTGTTAGTCTGTGGCTAGGTTGCACTTTTTAAAAAATTTACCAGTGACGTCATAACTTGTTAGATCGCCCTCTAGTAGCAGTTTGAAAAAAGTGTAAAATGAATTTTCAGTAGATGTCTGTGGCGAAGTTAGCGGTAATCACTTCAAAATTGGTTTATATGAGTTAGGCATCTCTGTTTTCACAAAATACACATTTACAAAAGTAGCAGGTCTCCAAGACGGCGTGGTAAGTGGAAAGCAAACGTTTTTGTCTGAATGATATAAACTATGTGGACTCTCAGTGTTTTTGGCAGAATTTTGTTCCCTCAAAGTTGGGGTGTGATTTTGAGGATGAGCTTTTTTTCAGTTCCTTCGCTATGACTGGACTAGATTATGAAAAAACTTATCCCATACATCGATGAAGGAAGCAGCTTTCGTCACGGTGTGGCGACATGTTAGTTGTTTGTCTGCCATGTCTTTCGGTTTGTACGCGGAGCGTGTACAGTAAATCATCATGCACATGAGCACATTTTGGGGGGCTTCGGGGCACATTTTTAGGTGGCTGATTTTTTCATGTCATGCATGTTAAATTCCTGTTGTTATGCACATTTTGTTCATATTTATAGAAATGTGTTTACATGTATTTACAATTTTTCATTTTCTTAATAGATGGGACAGTATGTACAGCTTCCTAGCTACGGTATTTACTCCCGAATCCTAGTTTTAGCGAGCTATCTATGAATGTCTGCTTTTCGTGAAGACAGTTGGTTTAGTTTTGGAAAATTCACTGGAAAACTAGACAACATACGGTGCATTTAGGCTGTACAACATATGTACACTGTACTTTGTGCTTTCGGTCATACAAAGAAAAACTTACTTGTCATATTTTCTTTCACTATCAATACAGGAACATGTCCCAGCCAGTTAAATGCCTCGGTCCTCAGATGCCGTTGACAGTTTCATTGCCTCCAACATGAGAATATTTCTTGAGACTCGGATTCATGCAGCATTAAATTCCAGTGTGCTCAATTTATGATTTTTGTATTTCAGTGAAAAGGCTGGTTCATACTTTTAATAGCCAATGGAAAACGATTCTGATGTCATGAAACATTCGCTTCAAAATTCTCCGGAATTGGACCGTGCCCAACTTTTTGCAAAATCACAGTGCAAAAACGTGTTGTGACATCAACAATTGCATTTGCATTCGCAAAGTATGAACCGGTCTTTATATGCATTGCGTAGTGCCAACAACATTGACAAGTATCATCTCCAGTTTGTTGTTGCTATGTTTACAAAAATGGTTATGTAAACTCATGCCACAGACATCCACCATGCCAAATAAAGTAACCAAGGATTATCTCAAATTTACCTGTGTACATATAAACATTGTTTCATGTACATAATTATCGTGCTCAGTGACACTATGCCAAAGAATGTGGTTATTGTTATCCTCTTCACTGTAAATTGTTTCAACTGAAAGTGTTAAAACCACCAGATTTTAGCAGTTTTGATTGTGGGGGAGTTGATATTTTTGATGTTGATTTTTATTGATGTTTATTTCTTAGCCAAAGATGGACGTTTGCATACATGTACGGTATGCCAAAGCTCATTAAACTGTTTTTGCCCCTCCTTTGCACTTACTTGCTGATATTTTTCTGGCTCCAAATAGTTGGCATTATTATTACTTTGTGATGTGAGATGTCATGAAAAAAATAAGGAGGGTTTACGTTTTCGAGTAATTTGACTAGTATCAAACTACAGTATGTCTTAAATTTCTTAATTTAGTTGTTAGTTGCAATGTAAGGAATTGTTTTCAAGCCCAAGTTAAATGTAAATGTGAACTGCTTCCATTGAGGCCTGGTGAAATCATTATATAATTATTAGGCATGCACAGTTGATTCATTTGATATAATTGCTGCTTTGGCTTACTGTGCTTCTTAAAGAGTAAGGCAAATATGCTACACACTATTGTGTACCCATGACTTTTAATATTATATCTCAGGTTTTGGGTCCAAGCCCTTGGATCGGACTGGGTCTCGGCTAGCTGTTGAGTGGGTTCTCGGCCTGTTGATTGGTTAATTGGATTCAAGCCATCAACTAGACCAGTTGTGGACCCCAGCGTGTCGTTTGGACCTTACTTCAATGCATGATCCCATCTACAGTTTTCACTTGAATCACAGCTCTTGAACTGGAACTGGTGACCCAGGAAACAGATTATCTTTTGAGGAATTCTTGTCTCTGTCTATTACTAGGAAAGAGTCAGACTGAAACCCAGGGTCATGGTAGATTTGTATTTGTGTTTGCGTGCTCATTTACTCATCGTTTAGTGTTATTTAAGATTTCAGTTTTCAGTTTGTTTGCTAAATGAAACAGGTTAACTCAATATGCATCAATATACAAAATCCGAAATGACATCAACATGACGTCATTAACAAATTTCAAATATTTTATATCTGTTAGCTACTAGATCAACATTACTTTTAATGAACTTTGAACAAACTTTGAACAAACAATATCATTAACATGACAGCACATTGGCAAATAAAGGATAAAGTCGTACAGAAAAATATAAGCGCAAAAGCCCTATGTTCTATTTTTAAACAGACATAGACCTCTAGTTATTATTATTATAATTCACGTATTTTCGGGTCCTTGGATTCCTCAGACTAAAACAAAAAAGAAAGTACAATAAGCACTCAAATGGCTGCAAAAAGATTTCTTCATGCGAAGCTGAAATGCGCACCGAGTAATTACGGGATGCCACACATAATTATTAGCGATGCACATGGTGCTCTTTGCGCGTAAACGGTGTTGCGTTCGTCACGTTTTCGCGCATTATTTGTATCTCTCCTCCAGCACGTGACCCTCCATGCAAGTCCAGCCAGTACATGTGTGTACATGTTGTGACAGACTTGGCAGGGCTAGTGCCAGCAGTATTTACTTGACCACAAACATTGCAAAAGAGTTAAACTGTTGAGATCCTGAATCCATCAAAGTCCCCCAATAGCTCAAAATGGAGGTATCCTGAATCCATCAAAATCCGCCAGTTCCGCTAGGCTTCGAATCCTGAGTCCATCAAAATCCCCCAGTTTGTTCAATATGGAGGTATCCTGAATCCGCCGAAATCCCCCGAAACAGGGGGGTGGATTTTGATGGATTTAGGTACGTTAGGGTTAAAGGTCCTACCTTGACAGATGCAGTATGAGGCACTTCTACAGCAGTTTTGTGGTTCTTGAATTTAGCAGGGGGGTTGCACTGCATATCCCATGGCCCAGGTGCAGGTCCATTGGCGGGCCCATCAACCATTTGCCCTGATGAAAACAAAGGAAATGTCCAGCACTCTCAGCAAAACTTATTAAATCATAAAAGAAACATACTTTTTGTTAATTGACTTTCATACATTACAAAAGTGTCACACATAAGTGTGAAATGTGGAACACATACTCTGACATTCTTGTATTTTACAGCACGATTTCAAAAACATTGACATCATCAAATCTAGTCATTGTTTACCTTTGAAAGGTTCTGAAGCCCATGCAGTTGTCCGCTTTTCTGTGAAAGTTTCCAACTTGTACTTTAAAGATGGAAGGGGAAAACAAGGAAGAAAACAGATACACATGTAAAGTGTTGACCTGGGGAATATACCAATTGATCAAGTTCATCCCCATGATGTTGTGACCAATCACAGCCATGATTGATGTCTGCGCAAATGTCCAACATGCGTGCACTCACATGTGAAACCTTGTCTTGAACAATGAGCAGGGATTAATGGGATCAGCACACTTCAGGTGGCAAACCAATCCAGCCATGCCAAAGTTAAGTTGACTGCAGTCGGTTTAATACAAGAAACAAGGTAAACTTTTTTTTCTATCAGGGTTATTTAAATTATACTTCAGAGCCACATATTTATCTTCAGCCTACCCTGGTATTATATTCTGGCAGCCAATAATTTGAAATTGTAAAATAATTCAATAACTAAACATTGGCCGATTTTCTTTGGTAGATATGCGTATCTCATTCAAAAATGATTAACTTTTGTATTGCTAGAAAAGTAGCAAATTTAGGAAAAGAATTGTTTTCTTGGGATGAAACTCAAAAGCAAGGGGAATGCAAATTTAAAATCTACAAAGCACCAAACAAGGACAGAAATGAAGCATACGCACACACACATGTACATGAACAGCGCCCTCAAACATCAAATGATGCTGCCTATTCGGTTCACCCACAGCCAGCGATTTATTACTACATGTATGCTATTGGTGACTGCAAAACATTCAATTATCAAACATACCTGTATACAAGCATACTTACATGGAAGGCACTTGAATGACTGATATCATTGAAGACCATTTCTTGAGCAGCCTTTTTACCATAACAGCAATTCTCAGCCACATGACTAAGCAGGGCCTCCCTTGCCTGTTCCACTGTCACGGTGGGCATACTGTTAAGTAATGCAGTAAAGACTAAAATAGGAGGAGGATCATTCACTATATCCTGTCAAATCTATCAATTCTACCAGTAGGAAGGTTGGAGGAGGGATGGGCATGATAAATAACACCAGCACAAATAGAAATCTAATCCCTGGAGTGTAAATCATGCATCACAGAGAGTGTGAAATAATGGTCGGAAATGGAATAATTACCAGCCACATGCCAAGCTCGTCTATTTTGTACTGTTCATGTACGTGTATGCACTTATTAAAGTGCATCCATGTATGACAGCCTAAATAAATCTGCATCGTACACTCAAGAAATATTGAGTAGCCACTATTTAACAATTGTTGACTGCTGCAATGTGGGTAACTTTTGTTTATCAAAAGTGGCTTTGATGTGTAAGTGAAACCAAGTAAGAGAAGAAGAAATCTGTAAACCTTTCATGGCTATTGGATGCAGCACTCAATGTGAAACTATTATCATGCTATCACCACTAATGGGTTTTCATTCAATTTGCCTGGCTCATTAGATAAAAATTGAAAAATCACGTAGATCGACATTCGACAATCAAAACGAATCATTCAATTTCACTATCCGAGCATTTTATCGTCTTTTAGCTTCACTCGTCCCTGTAAAAGATGCATTCAAATTAAAACTATCGCGTTGTTCATTAAACTTTGTCCAAACCAGTAGTAAGGGGTTGATTGGGCATTCCTTTTCATTAATGAGCAAACATATTTCACATTTTGTCATCTTGGCATAAATCATATCCAATGTCTTCAATTCGTAATTGCACACCTCGCTTTCTTAATTAAAGGGTTCGTGCAATGAATTTTTCTCAGCACATGCTTGGATCACTACATGTATAGGGGAAATAAATTCTGAAAATTGCATGAAGATACGGTCTTCCAAATAGGAGAAATTAATTTTTAAAGATTTCACCCGCCAACATGAACATGTCTGTGTACATGTAGTTTCATTCAAAATAAAGTGATACATAACCTTTAGAAATCGCCCTTCGCAACCATATGGCTGATAATCCTTTGTTTGTACTACCTTTTTTGCAACAACTCTCATTGGTTTTGTACACGTTTTCCAACCAAGGAGTCCTTGATTCGATTTTTGACCTCGATTCACTGATGATGTTGCACGTGTGTGTCCTCGATTTACACCATAAACAAATGCATACGCACACACAGATACATGTATATGCACAGACGGAAAATGCTGTCGCAATATCCCCCTCCGGCTTACAGCCACTTGGTATAAACATGCGTGCTCTTGTACTGTATCAAGCTTGAGGACAGACAACAAAAGGAGCACAAAGGGACCTTTCATCCTCGGACGACGGTGCCTATTGTCCTCGAATGCCGGTTTGCGCGCTTAGTCTATGGGAAAGGTTATTAAAGGAACAAAGGAAAACATTAAGCCGATCCTCGGAAGCATAGCAAAACACGACTGTCTGCGTGTGTGTGTGTGTGTGTAAACCCCGGCAATCGTGGACTATGGAGGAAAGAATACGAGCATTAACCAAAGGTCCATATTTGACAGCACGTCCACAATTGAAATTTGTGTACAAAACCAATGAGAACTGTTAAAATAGTAAAGGTACAAACAAATGAAGGAAAATTAGTGACAATAGGGGGTCCATGATTGCACAAAGCCGCCTTTCGCCTGTGAACTGGGCGACAAGCTTTGCCTTTGCCCCCCCCCCCCCAAAAAAAATACTACAAGAGCAAAGTACAATGCAGGTGTACACGTATATGCCAGTTTATACATTTCCATATCTTCAAACTCCTTTAAAATCAAAGCAATGTACACAAGCACAAATTGAAAATGTAAATATTTGGATTAAAAAGTCGCCCACTTCAAAAGGGCCAAACTTCAATGATTTTGTATAGAGAAGATATACCAATGTACATTGTACCAAAATTTCCTTCACGGTAATACACATGTACACATTTCAAATGGGAACATTTAATTTCTATAGGCGGTAACAGAAAAATACAACCTTGCACAATGATTCCCTTGAATCAAGTTGTTACCATGAGCTTTAACCATACCTGATTGTTACTTCTACATCAATTATCTTTCTCCCGGTATGTTAATGTGGCAAACAAAATTGCAACTGGAAGTGAAATAGTCTTGGGGGAAGTTGAATGGGTTCAGAGGGCACTTTACACTCACTTGGGCAAATCCGAACGCTGTGGTGGTTCCATCATACTTTGATCATAGGAAGGAGGGGCCAGCGGGGCACCAAAATTGCCATAACCAGCAATAGCATCCATATTGTCCGATGGTGGGGCAGTGGCTGCTGCTGGGGGCTAGAATCAAGTAGAAATTATGCACAATAAAACAATGCAATCATACATTCTGTGCCACAATCATTCACTCAAAATCAATCAAGTGACTGTTTTCAACAGTAAAGAGCTCCCAGCCTACATAAAGCAAATATGATCTGACTGTTGGTGACTAGCCTGTGTAAAAGGCATGGCAGGTGAAGAGGATTGTTTTTGTTTTTTTACTGTCTGTGACTGTTCAGATAGCTGGAGGTTAATACATACGATAGTACGTGTAGCAAATGCTAACTATCTTCAGTGCAGTATACCCCATGGCTCCAAATTTTAAAATACAACAAACAATGTTGTATTTTGGTGTTTGCCTTCTAGAGCAGGGATAACATTATGGGCAGATGTACAGTTCTTAGGAAAATGATGTCCAGGATGATGTTTCGAGAATGTTCGAGAGCACCTGTATTTTTAGCAACTTTTCTCAGTTAAATTCAGTTATATATTTTACCAACCAGCAGGGACAAAAATCGGACAAGAGAAGAGCTTTTTTTTTATAATTTTAATCTATTAACAATGTGATGACTATGCATCCAATGCTAAATGCATCCAATCATGCCAATGCTACATGTACAGATGTACATGTACCATACATACACACATGTTCACCAATGTATACCATTTTGTATACGGCTACAGTGCCACAGTTATACCATCTAGTATTATATGTGTATAAATATGATACTGGGTCACTAAAGTGTGACAGGCATCTCAAAAAATTGAGTTCAAAATACAGTAAAATTTCTGTCTTTATTTTAATCTATGATCTGTGTAGGAAGCAATTTAAAAGTATAGAGATAGTTTCTTACCAAAAGTACAGTTTTCATAGTTAATTATTTTCTGAAATTCAAATGTAACGTTCGTAACAAGGTGTCCTGTTTGTGCTATAAACAGCATTTATGAGGTTGGTAACTTGTGATATGTGGTATGCATTGGCATTAGTCAGGGAGCCCAACACTTGAAATATCGACCTATTTGGACCAGGACTTTGGATTATAGAGAAATGACCAACTGATTAATGTACTGAAAGACGCCGTTACAAACGTTACCTAAAATGTACAGAAAACATTTCAAATTTTGCTGTTGGTTAATTTTAGTTACTAAATGTTATATTATTACAATCACTTTGTCATTTGAAGTACAGAAATGTGCTAAAATATTGTACATACCATGTTGGGAGATATTTATTAGACATTAACGGCATAATATCTTAAGTTTGTAACAAAAGACACCAACATCCACAAACTCCCTTAAACCACAGCGACTTATGGAATAGGCTAATAATGAACATTAAAATGAAGATTCTATACAATTGCAAGCTAAGTAATCAAAATGCTTTGTAAAATGTAGCCTACCGGTATTTTACAAATTTCATATTTTGCTGTAACGTATGTAACACGTATCAATTGTGTGGACCCCAAAGTTCAACCATGCGCCTATTCATAATTCATATTTGAATGTTATGAATTGAGGATAGTACAAGATGTATGCATGGGTAGCTTCACTTCAAATATAGTTTAAAGCGAATTGCTTCCATTTGCTTCACTCTGTGTAGGAGGAAAAATGGAATGTTACGTATGTAACAGTTGGACACCAAAGTGATCTGTGTTCTTAACGTGATTTTTTTGTACATGGAAAGCACATGGAGACGACTTTTTTTTTTTTACAATATGTCATGACTGCTGATGGTTCACAATCACTCCACTTTCAATCAGGACATGTCTGTTTTCAGTTGCTGTTATGCCCATGTTATGTTTGTAACATTTTGGACACCAAATGTTACAACCGTTACAGTTTCCATATTTCCTCATTTTTTTCAGAAATTTCAAGTATTTTCCACGGAACTTCTGGTATTTATAACAAGAAGCTTTTATAGAAAAAAAAATTGGCTAAGAGAAGTAAAATAAATAACATTTTATCAGGAAATATAAAAGTTCTAACCCCTTATGTTGCATGTCACATTTTGGTGTTCATTTTGTGCCCTATTTTCACACTAAATAACTGATCAAAATTAATTCCCACGTCCAGTGGTCATAAAGTTATCTCCTTTATATCTCTCACTCTATATGCACATGAGAAAAAAATAAAAAGACCAAAAGGTAACAAGAAGGTTAATCAATCTGGATCCAATTTTCTCACCCCAAAATCTCAACAGTATTGTATTTATATACATATAACTGACATACAGATCCTTGTCATTTGATTGGTGGAACTCACATCACGTGACATTCGTTATTGCTCCCATTTACGCTGCGGCTCAAAAAGTACTATCCGCCCATGGGGAATGGGAAATACTATTCAACAGTTAGGATCATGGCGGGGTACCGGTATTTGTGTGCAAATGCATGTTGGTGTGCGCGTTCAGTGTGGGGCGTAGCGCGTGTTGTTCCAAAGAGCCAGCGCTACAGCGTTGGGTTCAAATATTTTCGTGAAGGGGTGGTTTGGAATAGAGAAATTTCCTCCAGTTTTGTATTGAAGAAAATAAATTCCAATCAAATGACAAGGATCTATATGTCAGTTAAATAAAACAAATATTGAGTGGCTTTAAAATGTGAAATGGGAGGACTATTATCGCTCGGTAAAATCTTGACTTTTCCAGTTCACTCGGCTTCGCCTCGTGAAATGGAAAAGTCAAGATTTTACCTTGCGCTAATATTCCTCCCATTCCACGCTGAGCCACTCAATATTTGTATACCATGCACTACACAATTTAGTACCTTGATCCAAAGCTCCACTTTTTGACATACCGCTAATTTCAGTTCCCTTGTAAAGTAATGTTGGTACCAGTTGGCCATTGGTATGTTTATATACAAAAATGACCAAGTATAGTCATGGACGTAGTGTTTCTTTTGTAGGTATTTTTAAGCTCTGGCAGGAGCTTCTACATGTCACTTCGTGTTTTGACAGTCTGTCGGTCGGTCAGTTGGTCGGCCGGCCGGCCGTTCAGTCTGTCTCCGGAAAATTGACCAAAAACGGGCTCCCCAGGTTTCCCATAAAACATAACTACCAATTGACCAAATATTTACCAAATGCAATGCCGTTGTCTATTTTGCATATAAAGTGAGACATTCCGGAACCGGGCCAGAGCTTATTGTGCACCGCGCTTGTTTTACTCAACTTCAGCTTCCAATTGACATAAAAAATATTGCCTTAGTCCAGCTTTCTTTGTCATGTTTGTTGGATAAGTATGTCTGAAAGAACAGGTTTAGAATTACTTAGTTGTTTTTTGAGAGGTGTGTCATTTAGTTGTTTGTGGTTAGTAAAAATAATCACATGCACCAGTTGTAAAAATGGCTTCAGCACATGGATAGCAAATACTGCAAAATCGTTGACCAATAAGTTCTGAATTACTCTTGAAGAGTTTGACCAAAAAACGTCTGAATTATCAATAGCCAGGACCCTAACCAAACTTGTATATATGCTCCATCACATTATTATTACATTATTTTGCTGCTTTTCTGTATGTATTTGGAGGTCTTAACAATCGTACTTGTAGTGATACCACGCGGCTATTTCCACTGGCAAAAATGGTGAAATGGCTTTTTATGCATGCTGAAACTACGCAGCACAGACGGTGGTGGCCAGTCCCCTGTAAATAATGGTGTGCATAGTGGTGTGTACCGGTACGACTTAAATGCCCCATTATGTAGAAGTATCGTCGATTTCAAAAAAATGCTTTATTGAAGGCATTTTTTTTTTCCATTTTGGGCGCCAATTTTGATAGCTATTGACTGGTGCAAATTAATTCGGCCGAAAATACTCGTATGTGCAGCATAATAATTTGCCTCCCCCCCCAAAAAAAATAACAGAGCAACCGACCCTTTTTTTGCAGATATATTTTTGACCTTATTGTAAATAAATCACTGGTAAATTTGTTTCTTAATCACTTTTTTTAAATACAATATGCAATAAATGTACATTTTCTTAGATATAAATGCAACTTGACTTCTACACATGTCAATGTTTTTATTAGTAAAATAGTGTTTATATTGGTACATGCTGCTCCTGGGTGGAACTTTGCAGCACAAAGGCTTTAGGCCTAATACATGAACATTTCGGTATTTGAACATGGTACTGTTGTGCACATACAAAAAAAGTGTTGATTTAAGTTCTTCTTTTTTTCGGGGAGGGGAGGGGAGGGACGGGTCTTGAGTAGTAGTCTCTGTTCTGTGAAAATGTTGAAAAATTTGGATGGCTGTAAGTACCTGTGTTGCTGAAGTGTTTATTCCACCGCTTTGCCCCTGGGGCTGAGGATATCCACCACCTTGCCCCTGGGGTTGTGGATATCCACCACCTTGCCCCTGGGGCTGTGGATATCCTTGAGGTGCCCCTCCCTGTTGATACCCCCCTGACTGTGGCGGGTAACTGCCTTGTGGCTGCTGCATCTTAGAGAGCTCTAAAGATGAAATAAAAGTGTGACGTTAATACATGTATCTAACAACTGGCAATTAAAAATGGCAATTGTAAAGGATCTACAAAAAGATGGTGACCAGTACTACCATGGTACTATACATTGTAAATGTACATGTACATGTAGCTAATTATCTTACTATCTAAAAATAAATGTTACAAAAAAAGTTTGATGACCACTCAATAATACATACACATACAAAATGAAAAGAGAAGACATATGTAATACATTAATAGTTTATTTGATAAACCTCAAACTTGTTTACCAACGTGAACTCTGTGCAGGTATGGTAGAACACACTTGATGTACAGAACACACTAGATGCACACACTGGTTTGTACATGTATGGTGCAAAGTACCGTTACATGTACATGAATGCAGACAAAAATATTTATCTGAATGTACACAAACCTGCAGTGTTTTCACATGGTTCCTGGCACATACATGTACGGTAGTACTAAAGTAGCCATCTTTAATTGTGCGTAGAATCTACGCATGTACATGTATATTACTGAGAAAGAACAACCTGCTTCCATTTTACAATGGGTGTGCTTATGTTGTCTAGGGCATTTTTGACAATTTGAACAAGCACATCTGGTGAAGGTTACGTGGGGACCAAAAATATAAAATTGGTGTCCATTTGCTACATGAAGGAATGAAGGAATAGAAAAGAAAAGTAATTTTCAAAGTTGAACAAAGAAATGACTGGAGTGAGGTTTGAACCTGAGTCATTCCATGCCAATTCAACGGGCCATGGCACCATAAGTCACAGATTTTGTTCAAACTTGGTGAAAAGGTTTTGTTACATGTAGTTGTTCTATAGATGAGGTCGAAAGCAAAAATTCAAATTACTTTCCGTTGAGGTGTTACAGTAGCACAAAGTTTAATGAACTTTGCCTAAAAAGGGGAAACTGACTGGCCCATAGAATAAATCGTTGACTTTAAGGACCCATATCTTGAGATTGAAATTGATTTGGAAGCTGCATTTGGATACATGGGTACAACTACTGTAGTAGAGCAGGAGTAAAGGAAAATTGTACCCTTCATTCTTTACACCTTAATTTTAGGGGGGGGGGCGCCAAAAATGATCAGTCATGATACGTCACATGCATTTTTTTTCAAATATTGAAGACCCCTAATCTTGGAACTTTGCATTAACTTTTTATTTCAATTTTTATGTAATCTCTGACTACTAATATTGACATTTAGGCCTATGCGAAATAAAAGGCAATTGTAGATGTCGTTCCTGATTTGGGTGACCCCCAATATGGCCCCAGCCAAAAATCCGCCTTCAAATTGGCCAAAACAAGGGGGAAATCCCCATGTGGCTCAGGTGATATAATTTTCTAGAAAGAGGGCATCTTCAAGATTTATATTATCGAAAAAAAATTCATGCGTATCTGACATTTTCATGAAAAATCAAAGCTGCAAAAACACCCCCAAATTGGGCGACAATGCAATGTGTGTTAGACTGATGGTCTTTGACATTGGGTTTGGCATACCTCCAGAAACTAAGTCCAACAGTGTGCGTGTACAATTTCCCATGTGGGTGTTGGAATTTGCCTGAATGGGTATAATACATACATGGTTCCTAGTAAATTATGCTTCGGAGTTAGGGTTAATAAATTTAATATTCTAAACTCAATAACAAATCACACGTGAGAGACCAGAACTTGAATTGTACGGGAATTGATATGATGATACATGATCTTCATTTATCTTGTGCGCGTCCTATCACGTGACCCTTCCTTCCGATTGAAACCGGAAGTGCCTTATAATTTGAAATTGGAAAAAGATGTGAACTTGCTTTCAATGATGTTAGTCTCTGCCTAGGTTGAACCTTACAAAACAATTATCGGTGACGTTGTGAGATGTTCGAGCGCCTTCTAGCGACAGGTTAGAAAATGTCAAACACGCACTTTCATTGCATGTGTGTGACAAAGTTTGCGGTAATCGCTTCAAAATTAATGTACCATATACAATGACCTTAATGCAGACAAGCCTTGTGCTTGAAAAAAAAATGATTACGTCATCAGACCGGAACTTATATTGAAAAGACACTTTGAAAAATTACTGAAAAATCAACCGCGAGAGGTGTAATCCAGAGTTTTGCTGGAAATAGCACAGTTATTATAGCCCTCAAGCTTTCTGGCAATGACGTCATCAAGTATCGTATTACAACCAACCAAAGATTTCTAGATTTCTAGAAAATCAACATAAAATCAACTGTTAGAAATTTGATTTTTTTTTTTATGGCAATCGATACAATATTGCAGATCTACTATCAAGATCTACTGAACATATTTTTTTTTCCACTTCCGAAACTCCTAATGAAGCAAACCTTGAAAATGTTAAATGGACAGCAAAGCGTGCGGATGTATATCAGGCTGGCGGGGTTTGCACGTCTTACACCAATTTCAGCATGAATAGCATTAATTCAGCATATAATGAACGACATTCACTGTCATGGATTTATCAAAATAAAAGTAGGCCTACCGGTAGGCTATCACTGATCACGTTCAGAACAACCAGGCCTATGAGTTTCACCCTGTACTTTTCATGCTTCTGAGGGTTTTGAACTTGAAGGCCATTTCCTCTTCGTGACTAGCCTATGCTTTAAGTTTGTCGTGGTCACACAAATACAGGCAATTTATTCCAAAACTTACCTAGCTACAAATTCAAGGTAGGGGCCTAGGCTAGGCCTACATGTATGTAACTTACGACGATCATATGCGGCGCAGCTGCTTCGTCTCCTTTATCAGCTTTCCAGGTAAATTTGGTACCTGTGATAAGTTTTGTAGAATTTCTCTTGTACTACACAACCATCTTTCAAACTTCAAATGAATTTTGGGCACATACCCAGTCTGGAATTTCAAAAAGTTGTACTCTTTAACTTCCCCGTTTTCAATTTTTTTTTCTCCAAAATCATTGAAATATATCAGCCACTCTCATTGTTGCCATTGTTAAAAAGTACGTACATGTACATCATGCTACACACAGTACACACGTTTGTTTACTTTGACCGAGCTGATGGCGTTGCCATACCGTTGCTAAGGTGGGCTGGGCTTATGACCAAATTCGGATCTGTCCATTATCTATCATAATAAGTAGCATCCATATATTTATGTGCTATGTATTTTATTAAGTGAAATTTTTTAAAAATTGGGCTCACCATGGCCATTTTTGCTTCCTCTACCCCTAAATCACTCAAAACTGCTGTAAAGTGGGTGGCATAGCAAACGTGCATTTTATAATAACAGTGCCAAATTTGGTACAGATATAGACCAATATCATATCAACAAATGTGGATATTGGAATGTGGAGATCTGGCCCTTGACGGCCGTGGGAGCCATCATTCTAAAAGTGTTGAGTCATGCTGAGTCAGCACTATTTTGAAATGCATTTTCTCGTGCATATGGATAATGGAAGCTAACATGTTTTTCTACCTTTTTTTCTACACGCTTGGATGCTAAACAGGCATAAACAATGAATTTTCTGTCAATACCTTATTGAAAAAAACATAATTATGCCTGCCAGCTGATGTCAGGCCTGGCTACACCTGCAAGAATTGTACTGCACTGAAATGTAGAATACAGATGACCTACACAAAGTTTAGTTGGGAATTCAAGTTCTGACTCCCCAAAAATGACGTTCTGGACAAGTTTAAGACCTTCCACTATCATAGCAGGAAGGGATCTGGCAAAACCCTTGCCCAGCAAACAAAAATCAACTGATTTTAGTGACAAAAAAAATGCTGAACCAGCATTTTTTTAAATGTAATTCTGTTTCAAGCTTCGGTGAAAAAAAATACATTTATGGGGTTAGTCGGTAAATACAAAAGAGGTTATTGATACCGCCATGTAGGATGGGTTGCCCTATTACTGCAGCACTTATCACGTTTCTCGTTCGGAATAGAGATTCCCCACTAACCTTCCTAAATTGTCCTGTCTTTTGTGTAGTATAACTCTTCCTTTTCAAATTGATATAAAAAAATCCGATGGTGGTGTGTGGTTTATTCCATGTACAATGCCTGTGAAAATAGACATGCTTGGAGTGTGCGAACGGAGGTGGACTCCCTATTATCGCAGTATGCGGGAAGTGTTTTTTTATAATGATCTCATCTTTTTTGTTCATAGTTAATGTTTGACCAAAACATCCCCTGAATAAAGTCTAATATTTTCCCTGTAACGTTCAAGTTGATTAAAGATTGTAAATGTCTGCTGGATGATTTTTTAAGACCCTGCCCTTCCCCCGAAAGAAGAACACAACATCACTGAGGCAAGTCTACTGATTAGTTATTGGGGGCGCCATTCATTTTACACTGTGTGCCGTTTTATTTTTATCACACTCGGGATAAAAGGAACCATCGAATGAACGCTGGGCATGAAGACCACATGGCAATTCAAACACAAATCGGAAATTTAACGTGTTCACGATCGCTAGGGGAGCTCTCGGAATTGAACAGGAAATTTTACTTTTCATCCGGATCGTAAGTAAACTTCAGTACAACCATCTTATTTATTGATGTCTACTTGTACCTTAAGTGGCGTATCTAGTAATTTGGAGGATGCTTTGAGGGTAAAATCTGATGTTTTTGTTGGGCAATGTTCGATTTTTGGGTCAATGACAGAATTGTGTTGCTCGGCATATAAGGATTAGCTTGGACCGTACTATCACCAGACCATGTCCGAATGTTTAAAAGGCGATAAGTTGGGTCCAAGTTACTCGGACTAGGCTAGCCACACTCGCCCACTGCTGAGGAGGTTGTACTTAGGTTTACTTACATGTATGATCCGGATGAACACGTTAAATTTCCAACTCGTGTTAATGTTTGAATGATGAGATGCGGTCTTCATGCCCAGCGTACATTTGATGGTCCCTGTATCCCCAGTGCAATTCCGTTACCGGGCGCGATGCATCGATTATGATAATGAGTAGACTGGATCTCATTTGTAAACACAGGTACATTTCGAACGATAATAGGG